GTGTGTGTGTGTGTGTGTGTGTGTGTGAGAGACTCAAACACGGTCACACAACTATCCAGAAATAAAGTCGACATCCAGACAATTGTAGTTTAAACTGTTATCGATTCGTTTCTGTAAAACTGTTGGGAAAATAGAACTAATTCCAACATTTTCTTGATTTGTTTTTTCTTATTTTTGTAATTCCACAAAGACAGGGATGAAGGAGACACGTACAACAAAATCACAAATGAAGTGGATTTTCTGAACACAAACAGAAAAACAGACACAGCTGCGCAAAGGCAAAGTCGAAGACAAAAGATTAGACAAGATAAATGAACAAAGTAATCAGCGGGACAAACAGGAAACCACACAGGAGGACAAACAGGACAGGAAAGGAGGGGAGAAAAAGAAAACTGAGGATGGCATTACCGCTGAACCTGAACTCTTTGTCTTCTAAAAAAACAAACAAATAAATAAATAAATGAGATATTTAACTCTAAATGCAGGGTACTTTGACAGCACAAGCCAACAGAAACGCTGGTTCATCTCAGCAGAAGTGGTGAGAAAATCCAGAATAAAAAAAGATTTGTTTTCTTCTCCAACAAATCAATGCTCTCCTCTGATTGAACCAAAACTGCTGAGGTAAACAAGAACTGAGAAGTATGACTTAGAAGCATCAGAATTCTGTTTTTTTTTCCTCCAAGGAGAAAAAAAAATAAGAACAAACAAAAATGTAGCTCAGTGAACCCTCTCCTGGCAAACCCTCAAAGCGTTTACAAGGCCCAATAAATCTCCATCGGAGCAGCTTGTCAGTGATAAGGTCAAGGTTATTAAAAGTGCAGAATTGTATCATGAATAAAACAACACTGACGCTCGGCGCTCTGAATCTCATACRCACCACATGCTTCATAGATTTTTGAACTGATGGCACTGCTTGTTTTTTGGAAATGGAGGGGGATTATCGGTTCCTTACGAGTCCACAGAGGCCATCTGAGGGTGTGGACCTTCGTTTCACCACTAGGTGACAGTAGTGGTCAGAATAATGCAAGGAGGCTGCAGAGCCAGTAGAAGCATACAGTGAGCACGGGCTCTTTGGAATTGATTTAGGTAACTTTATCACTTTTTTACAACCATGTTTAAAATTTAAAAAAAAGCTGGGACATTGTGTAAATAAAATAAAAACACTGATTTATAAAGCTCATAAACCCAGATTTTATTCACAGTAAAACTACATTAAAAAGCTGAAACTATCAACTTGTTTTAACAGTCTGTAAAACATCTAAGAGCTGAGGAGAGCAGCTGAATGTTGTCCCCTTCCTGTCTGCAGACCTGGCTCTTCTTAGTTTTGTGTTTTTTGTTGGATGCTGCAACGATGGTGTGTTTCCTGGTGTGTAAAAATGGATGTAATCTGCATTATTAYAATAATCTAATYAAASCAGGCTTCAAAATGTAATAAAACTGCATTATGTAATAATCAACGCAATAACGCATTTCCTACTTTCACATGAGTTATGTAACACTATTACATTTTGCGGTGACGGTTGCTCTTTTTAGAAATAACGTAATAATTTGGTGCATTATCTAAAAACGATCACAAACTAGTGTTTGTGTTCATCCTAATCAATACACTYGTAATAACGATCATGTTGCAGACACTACACATTTAAACGTATGAAGCTTTGGTCAATAAATGCCAAACAGCCTTTTTTATTCATTCTCAGTCAGATTCCTCTGTATTAATATAAAAGTTGTTCAATGTGGGACAATCAAGAAACAAACTGCTTATTTCAACACACTGGCTTTCAGAACAATGGTAACGCGTGCTTTAAAAAGCGAAAAGGTCAATGTAATAATGTTATTACATAATGCAGATGAAAGTATTACAAAATGAGTTGAAGGATTTATTACACTTTGCAYTGATTATCACATAATGTGGTTTTAATGAGGTTTTATTACATTTTGAAGCCTGATTTTATTATATTATTATGGCGTTATAAAGTTTTAGTGCACCCCTATACCATGAGAGAGGCAGTTTTCTGAACTGTGTACTCTCCTCTTTATTATGGACRTGGTTTCCCCAAAATTTCCTATTTTTATTTGCCTAAGTCCGTTTGAGCTTCGGCCCAACGAAGACGGCAGAGTTTCTGGTTGTTGTTTTTTTTAAATATAGCTTTGTTTTTTGCATGATAGAGCTTGAACTAGCAATTGTGGACGGCACAGTGAATTGTGTTTCCAGACAACAATTAATGGGAGTGTTCCTGCAGCCAGGAAGTGATGTTCAGAACAGAATGCAGTGACTCCTGAGGGCCAGAAGCTCACGGGCATCCAGTTTAGACTTTAAGTCTAAGGTTTCTCCTTGAAGTCTTAAAATCTTTTTATGCTTTTAGGACTGTTGATTGTACGATATCAAAAGTCTTTCCCATGTTTCCATTGAAACAAAGTTATTGTCAAACTGGTGAACCTATGATCATCTTCTGAGAGATTCAGCCTTTTTAAAATACTTTTTATACTCTTTTTATATCATATTATTACATATTACTGTTATTACACAATGCGGCTTTACGAGGCTCTACTGCACCCCTATACCATGAGAGAGGCAGGTTTCTGAACTGTGTGCTGTCCTCTTTATTATGAACGCCTCTAACTGACCTGTTGGGTAATTAGTTGATAAATGCTGTTTCTTTTTCATACCACTTTCTCAGGGTTCCCACACCTTGGGCAACATCAAATTCAAGGACCTTTCAAGGACTTTCCAGTACCAATTTCCTCAAATTAAAGAACCACGYRCAACRGCAATTACCTACYGCYACCRMAGAATGKTACYAATRAAMRGGTTTAATATCATGTAAATTCAATGAAAAACTGAACAACATAGAAGTTGTTGAGTCAGAAACGATGACGTCAGTTTACCGTAATCCTGAGTTATCCACCACAACAAATGTTTTTTTAATTTAATTTTATAATTTATCTTTTTAAAAGATGATGAAAATCAGTCGTGTGAATAGAGAATTTCAATCCCTCAAAAACATTCAAGGACTTTCAAGGACAAGTGTAATTTTTGGCTGTTTTCACAAACTTTCCAGGGCCTTGAAATCATATTTCAAATTCATAAACTTTCAAGGGTTTCAAGGACCCGTGGGAACCCTGCTTTCTTTTACAGCCCAATAAAAACAAAACAAAAACAAAACTAAATTACTTTTTTTTGCATAATATAATTTCTTAGTTTCAACATGTGATATTTACTATGTTTCATTGCGAACAAAATATGGGTTTATGAGCTKTCCAAATCATTCATTTACATTTTACTCATTGTTCCAACTTTTTCAGAGTTGGGTTTGTAAAAAGAAAAAAAAGTTTCTGCAAAGGAGGGTTTAGCCTCATCAGAGAGAAGGGAACAGGAGCGAGCAGGCGATAGCAAAAAAAAAAAAAAAAAAAAAAGTGAGATGCAAGCAGGCTGCAGCAAAGTTTGAAAGCTTTCAGAGACTCACCTTTGGTCAGACGGGTTCTCCAGAGACTCGGGACTTAAGGGAGCAGGGGGAGAAAGTYGACGGCATGCAATGTAAGCGCAAACAGGCCACAAGGAATAAAAAGGAGGGGGGGAGGGAGAGGAAGGGAGAATGTTGTGAGCCCTCTCTGTGACTCACAGAGGTCCAGCAAAGACCTGGAGTTGCAAAACGCACAGCTTATCTGCWCCACTACATCGACCACGTCAAGAGTCGATAACTACTGCTGTGTGATCATAGAAGTGTGTACCTTAACTATGATAACACCTCAACTGTAACAAAAATAGTGACCCACTGCGATAAAGATGGATGCACCAAAAAATGCTTTGGGATCAAGCATTTTTAAAAGGCGAGCCTTAAGATTAARTACATTCATGGTCAGTGTCCTCACCGGTACAAATCCTGCTTTAAGTCAGGGTCCAATTATCGAACAGCTCCTTTATATTTATGACGCTTCACGCTAAAGCGCCGCGGCAATTACCTTCTGTCTGGAGATGAAAGCGGCGGATGAGAAAAAATTGGGCAGTTGTCAAAAAAAACGGGGTCAAGCGCGGTATCAGATGGGAGTCGTAGCCAGATATGATTTGTCACTGAAATAATGGGGCTTGAGTCGAATCGACCTGAGCTTAGTGATACGGGCGACGGGGTGAAAGAGGAGGTGATCAMGGAGCGCCGTAAAGAGTAACTGAAACGCCACCTTCAAGGTGAGAGCTCGGCCCCTCGAGGCTCTTAATGGCCTCTCAAGAAATGTATTCATTATCTTTACAAAAATCAAATCATGGGCCGATTGATCGGWGCTGCAACAAGGTTTGCCTAGAATCCCGCCCATGGAGGCTCTTAGTGACTGTGACATCTATTAAACTTTTGACAGCCTGGCTCCAAGGACTACTGTCCCTCCCGCTAAGTGAGATTGATGCCCATGGCTGCCCACTGTGGAGAGATCTCAATTGGAGGCCTAATCTACAAAAGGGAGATAAATCTGTGATTAACATGTCACAGCCATTCAGAACAGCCGGCTCTGTAATTATTTAAAATTACAGTCAGAGATCTGGCAAAAACGAAATGACAGAAACTCTGGGGTGGACTGGAACTCTGGGCCGAATCCAGTCTGCTTAATTCGAGCAGACTCCTGTTTCACCACTTTGTGAAACTTATTTAAATTTAATAAAAGTTACTGACCAAGCTAATGAGCAGGGAAGAACCAACCCAGCCTTTCTCCTTGCATAACTGAGAGGAACTAAGTCRTGAGCGAAGGTTTTCTCCAAGCAGAAACTACCCGAGACCAGAAAGTAGGTTAGGGGGTATTTAGTAAATCCTTCTCTCGTGGTTTTCAAGGGGTCTCATTCATTTCTCACGTAAAAAACTTAACGYCATTTAGCACCAAGTGCACGGTGATTCGTTTTGTTACAACCATGCGTGTATTATTGCACATTCTCGGTACAGCCTTTTGTTTTCTCTGATTGAGAACAATGCTCATCATGCAAACATTCATGCATCCTTTTGTAGTGAAAAAAAAAGGGACTGAATGACACTGAGAATGTATCAAAAACAAATCGGTCAAATTAAATTGTGCGTATGAAGCTTGCATGTAAAGGACTGASTTTAAACAACAGAAAAAAAATATGATTTCTGTGAGAAAATTAAGTTTGGAAACTGAATGTACTTTAATTTCATTTGGGTTAACTCTTTTAAAAAGAATGAATTATTGTTAGTCGGACGTGATTTGAAATCGGGCAAACACCCGGTCTTTAAGTCTACTTACTCTGGGATCTCATTGGTCAGTTGGCTTGAGTGGAAAGGAGAGACAGTGAAGGACATTCACATGAGACAGAGACAGGAGTGGACGGGACAAAGGAACGCTGACGACATTCAGACACAAACGTGAGCGACAGTTTTTTTCCCCCCKCAAGTTGTTCGCATCGAAGTGGCTGAGAGTCGGGAACACAACTCTCTGCTGGCTGTGGCCCAGTTTTCACACCTCCCTGTGTTTGTGTGAAGAGCTGTGAGATACGGAGCCATATGCTGGATGCCTCTTCAGGTTCGTCACGTAAACATTTTTTTTTGTTTATGCAAACCTGGAGGCACACACATGCCAACCTYGCAGATGGATGGAAAAGAAGAAAAGAAAAAAAAAAGCGGCTCATTTGCTGCCTGTAGGGAGATTGTTTCTTCAGGTTGTTTTTGTTTTGCAGCAAAAACATTTTAAAATTACATCATTTTTTTCGTGTGTGTATGTGTGCGTGTGTGTGTCTTTTCCTGGGGGGTTTAACGAAGACTGCTGACAAATCTTTGGACTTCGGTTAGGCATCCGAATATTAATAGAGGATAATAGGTTTAATCGCGTGTGTCCAGTGTTTGTAGGCGACAGACTGAATAGGATGCGCTCAGGGCGAGACTGTGATTGCTAACTGTCTAGTTAATTAGTGAAATCCTGTCAAAAGCAAAGCAGAACTGTCACAGACAGCGAGGGTGAGCTATTAGCAGGAACACTCGCTTCTCCCTGAAGCTCTACCACTGATGATATCATCAACGCTGCTATCGCGCCTCACCAAGGGAGGAGACAGATAGACAAGGGGGGTGATTTGGCTAATAGGTATTACGATGAAGCTGACTCGTCCTCCTTCCTTACCTCCTGGTGACGGCGTTGTGGTACTCGATGAAAGTCCGTCCGTCAAAGGCGATGGCCTCGGTCTCCCCGGCYGACTTCTCATGGATGGCTGCGAAGGAAGGGTTGGGGGGGTGGGGGTAGGATGAGATCACACCAATCAATAAAAGCAAAGGGGGTTCGGTTATCAGACCTGCAGGCAACAGAGCAAGGAGGGGGGAGGGCGGCTGCGTTTTTAATTAACGTGAGAGGGGACAGCCGACCACACGCACAAGGTTAATGGTGAAAGCACCGACTCCAGAGCATCAGACAGATCGGGACAGAGCGAGGATACGACTCGCAGGGGTAACGGGAGGGAGATGATGAAAGGGGCGCGCAACTCTTTCATGAATATTCAGCTGACATGTTTAATCATTTTYCCCCAACACTTGCATTACTTTGATATCAATAAATAACAGCGCTGACATAAAAGAGACATCACGCGTAATGCCGAACACAATAGCTGAACGGGGTCTTGAGCATCGAGGCTCATAATTTACCTTCGGTAGAGGCGAGCCAAGACCCAGCTGTGTTACATGAAGCATTCCTGATTTCAGTTCCTGCTTAGGCTATGCTGGAGTAAAATCACACTAAGAAGCCTTTTACAGCAAAACCAGATAATCCTGATAGAGGAAGTGAAACAATTTGTGCTGTAACAGTGATTGACTGCAGCCATGATAAGGTGATCTCAATCCAGCAATTATAATTAGTCACTGACTTGAATGATCCCCCAAAAACTGGGAAAAKACAGGTTTTTAAAGGGATCCATGATTAGTTGTAACATTAGACTTTATTTGATAAACATATACTTTAACTGTAAAATAAAGACCGTAAAATACTGTAGGC